TGTGCAAAATATTTTCCAGACCACCTAAAGATTGAACAACTAAGATACTGTTTTAAGAGGGTCATTAGTTGCGCAATCGACAAACCGTGCATTTTTATTTTCTTTTCATGCTCTACGAGCAACTCGAGAATGGCTTGCATTGCGGAGTTATTGGACACGTTGGTATAAAGTGAACTGACATCGAATGACTCCATTATATGCGTGCTGTCAAAAACCTCAACGCGCAAAACTCTTGAGCCGTTTTGGATAAATTTCAAAAATCCAAAGATGAACTGGAAGAACGAGTCTCACTATCACGCGTGACCTGGCGCCCTATTTCAAAATGATATTTTGACCCCGGGGCGTGTCTTGCTCGCGACTCCACGTGAACTACGTGTCGGCCAGTCCCGCACATAACATCACGGTGAGTGGCCTTTCTGTTCAATATGGCGTCTATTTGAAAGTTTGATCTTCATTAATACTTTAATCTTCTTTTCCACTGAATAATAAAAAGTATTCTAACATAAAGTACGTCCAGGCTCTGTGGAAGGCGAAGTCGCCGTAACCTTCAGCCATCGATCAATAACATCAAAAACAACGACAACGACAACGAGGATCTGTACCAACCTCGCGTCAGCTTAAAAAACACGAAGATTTTCATACAAGGAGAAGGATCGTATACACATTTCGGTGCTAGCGATTTTTAATGAACTTCTTGAGAGCATAATTTTGAGTGGAACCATTTGGGGCACAACAACAACAATAATGGACAATAATATGTTTCCAACCAACTGGAACGTCGATAAGGCTCTTTTCTTTGAAATGCGGGGATCACATAAGCTCGGCCAGTAAGGTTTTTCGTGATTTTCCTCTTGCCTATTTTTTAAGTATTCTGTCCCTACGAGGCATTACGTAACATACGGCATTTCTCTCATTCGGTTTATAACATTGCATTCTTTGTTGTTCGATGTTTACGGATTTCCACATAAGTTCACCCATTAGTTGTGCGGTTAAATGTTTCATTAATGTCGTTCAATGCTGTTCTAGTGTTCTAGTGTTCAGTTTATAAGATCATGCGACTTTGATTTTGGAGCTTCAGAATGAAACTTAAAGCTGATATCAGAGTATTCCTTGTATCACCTGTAGCCCCGTCGATCATCAAGGGACTCGAGCGGGCGTCAGTAAACCTTCCATTTTCTCCTGTCGTGTGCAGGAGTGCAGTTAGTTCTTCACACCTTATGGACTCGTTGAGCATCATATCTTTCTTTAAGGCTCTTTGTGAAGAACTCTGACCATCGGGTTGGTGGTCTTGCCGCAGTACGTTTGGCATCCCGAGGAATCCACTAACGGCTCTTGTCCATCGGTTGTCATTCATACGTATTACGTGTCCGGTCCATCTTATCTTCACAGTTTGGCGTACAGAACGGCGTCTTTGTTGATCGTTAACGCAGATTGGAGCTTCAGATCCCTTACCTTATTTGTGTGAAACGGAACACTCCTAGCATACCAGGAAAGATATCAAAGTAGGCTTTTTATTTAAGTTATCTCTTTTGCATTCATTTATTTTTAGTCATGTACGTATAGTAACAGAACGGAATACGTTACAGCTGTTCTATGTTCGGAGTTATCGATAACGCAAGGTGGAGCACTATCAAGGTTGTGAAAATTTGTCAGAAACAAAGTAAATAAGGCCATCACATCAGGAACTAACTTCGCCCTAGTCACTATCTTTTTATCAGATGTAGTTACTATTGACAGCAAAGTCCTACGTTACTCTTCAGCACAAATATTATTATCTTCTTAGATTGTTAAGCTAGGACTAACACGAAGTTCAGAAAGATGTTTATTCGGCTAGCGTTTCAACGTCTTAATCTTCATAAGAGCAGATGATTCAAGTCGATGGACCACGTATATTATTTCTACATCGTTATACAATTGAAAAGATAGGATGGAGTGTTGGAGTAACTCTATACCATAAACGGACCGTCGCCGCAGGTTTATTATCTTCTAGTCACACTCGTAGGATTTCCTGGCGCCCAATCGGATCACTCGATGACGTTGCGGCAGGTTTATTGTCTTCTATTAACACCTGTAACACCTGTAGTCTCCTTGATCGTCGAGTTACCCGGATGGGCGCTAGGAAATCTTCCATTTTTCGCTGTCATGTGCAAAAGTGCCCGGTGGACTTTGGTCGTTCGAATGAGTCGTTGAGCATCATATCTTTCTTTTACACTTTTCGCAAGCAGCTCTTACCATGGGGTCGGTAATCTTCCTGCGGTGCGTTTGGCATCCCGAGGAATCCAAACACCAACGACTCTTGTTTATCGCTTGTGGTTCACATGCATTGCGTGTGTCTGGCCCACCTTATCTTCGACTGTTTGGCGTACAGAACGGCATCTTCGATTCTTGATCGTTGACGCAGATCGGAGCTTCGGATTCCATCCGTTACTTGTGTGGAACGGTATACTCCTAGTATCGTCCTTTCGACTGCGCGTTCGATTACGCTGAGTGTTCTTTCATCCTGCTTACGCAGCGACCAGGTTTCTCACGCATACGTTAGGGCATGAAGTGCCGATGAGTAGAAAAGGTGGGCAAGGATTCGGATGTTCTTTGTCTACTTCATTACATCCTCGATGCTGTTGAAAGCTTTTCAGGCCGCTCGTTTCCTTCTGCTCAGCTCTGGAACTGAGCCCTGGAACATCATATTGATTTCCCGACCTAGATAGACATAACTGGACCATTCGGAGATATTCGTTCCGTTGAGCATAAATGACGCATACGAAACCAATTCGTTCCTCATGAACATCGTTTTTGTGAGATTTAGTCGAAGACCAATCTTTCCACAGGCTATATCAAAGTCGCAAAGCGTTCTTTCCGCTTGGCTTATGTTTGGTGGTATAAGAACGATATCATCAACAAAGATAAGGTAATGTAAATGCCAGACATCGATTTTCATTTCCATGTTGTCCCATTCCAATGTTAGCATAACGTTCTCGTGAGTGGCGGTTCATAGGCGGCGTTGAAAAGCTGACATCTTCTCGTCTCGGCCAGGCCGACGACGTCGTATCTTACCCTTCTTGCTTGCAAGATCAACTTTTCCATCGAGGGCTCGGATGCAAGCGTGCGTTCATTGTAGGTACAGATTGTGCGCGAGGATCGTAACCCTTCAAAATCTTCTCCGTTATGCCTCGGCGTGCTATGCGTGTCTAGTGGAGTATTTGGCTTACGTTTGCCGACTAGGTGTTCTTTTATACGTACGCAGAGTGGTCTACCCGTTTCGCCAACGTATTCGTCCTCGCACGCTTTACAAGAGATCAGATAGACTGTACCCGAGCTCATGCAATCACCGTCTCTACCATTGGGGCAAATTATGCAATTTTCCGTTGCACATAGACGGTCGTATAGGTGGTTAGGAACTAGCTGGCGCTTAAGATTACTCGGTGGTATTTCGATTACCGTTACCGAATTCTCTAGATTGGCCGTTCTTAAACAGCGTTTTATATCTGCACTTACTTCATTTGAATCAAAGAGCAGGATAAGCGAGACCTTGTTGTCACTAGAGTTATCGTTGGGGTACCTGCGGTTTTCTCTAAACCTATCTCGAGCTACAGTTTCGTAGCCATTAAAAATGGCTATGGTCAGATGAAGAATATGAAGAGCACGGAGGCACCACTTACGGTCAAGCATCACGTCTCTCTATACCTCAGGCTTTCAGAATCACTTCTTGATCTGACCCAAGCACACCTCTCACTCATGTAAAGCTCTGTGCGGCTGGTGTCCCACAATAACTGAAAGACCTACAAAGAACATAAACTTAAGTGTTGAGTGTTTAAGAGAAACGGTTTGTGATATGAATGGAAGTTAACGCATAAAGGTTTTGTGAGTGTGCACACTTATGTATACATTATACACAAATATACATTGGTGACTGTTTGTACAGCGTCTGAGTATCTGTTGTGTAATATAACTTCAACGATGCTGAGATATTTGGAAAACTCCGGACCACAGGTGTATGCGATGGGGAACGAACACACTCTGTTGTCCTTACCGGAGAGCAGCGCACTTTACCACCACACCATCCGGGTCTCTCTAAAAACCCGGATGGTGTGGTGGTGAAGTCTGTATATAAGTTGTGTTGTGTATACAAGTGTCTGTCTATACATACAAGTGAATATTTATTTGTGCGTGCTTGTCATTTACGTGCATGAAAATATCGGCATATTATAAGTTCGTAAATACTTGACAGAAAGCAAGCAAAAGCAGTTATACATGTGGAAAAGCTGAGAATACTTAACAGAGGCCACATGCTACGGGGCAGTGGCTTCTCTTCATGGCTTCAGTCGCAGTTTCGCAGAATTTCATTTTTACTATTGTGCGGCACCTTAAAAATTGTTTTGAATTTGCAAGAATATAAAGGAAGTATTATTAGTACATACGAAGGACGGTCGACGCAGTTCAAAATTGGCGTTGTCCTAGATGCGGGACCTTTGGTTGGACGGGCCGTACGACCAACTGTAGGACGTCCTGTGGGGCGAACTGTCTGACGTCCAGTGGGGCCAGCCGTTGGACGCCCTGTTGGGCCAACTATAGGCCGAGCCGTCGTTTGCGAAATCTCTGGGCCAGAGGAAGCTGCAACACTTTGTATGGCAGTAATTAGTTACATGAGCTGCTTACTAATTGCGGGTATTGAATTAAACATTACCAATGCGATAACGTAAAACGGTTTTGGCTTCATAGAATCTGCTGTAGGTAATTACAGGAACGATATTGCGAGTAGAGATCAACGATGTTCCAATATTGTCCTCAGCACAAAATCTGAGAACTCGAAGCCATGTCTGCGCAACTGATTTAACCTTTTACAGTATTAGACGCTCACCTGTAACCAGTATGTCGAATGTCGCTTCCGGTTTTTATTTCAACTCCTCCATACCTACAGCCATCTACAGCCAAATCTGTCGTGTAACTATCCAACACTACCTCAATCTTGGAACCAGCTGGTGCCTCAAAAAGGTTGCTTTAAAGTTCAGTATTGCCCCTGCTTGACTTAATTAGAATACTTCAATCCAGTAATGGCACATGATGAAGTCGTCGAACGCCTCCATTGCATTTTTATCACCTACTACATCTTCAAGCGTTTGGTAAGAAGTGGTTGCCGTCAACGTTTTACCACAACCAGCTGGCTGTAAAGAACAATTTTTGCGATATTCGAATAGATTTTTGGAGAGGAATGTTCTAAACATTGTATTTTCTTACTCGCTCATTGCAAAGTGTTCCACCATATCCGCTTGGGCAAATACATTTGGCGCAGTCTCTGGGATTAGGAAAACCACCGTTTTCGCACTTAGCTGATGTGGAGCTTTGATTGCATCTGTCTGGATTAAATTAATCTTAAGCCAAATTTTTGGAACATAGTAGAGAATGTCAAAGATATGCTACAATTTGCTCACCAAGACACCCATAGTGCATGTTCATCATGAGCTTGTCATATAGTGAAATTATCGGTGACCCAAGGGTTTGCATGTATTTAATGTCATGCGGAACCATAATGGGTTTACCGTCTCTTGAGACACTGCAATTAAAATGTCTACAATGTTAACGTGATTTAGCACTGAAATGTTTGGAGCCTGGCAGACCTTCTAGCGCCGTATTGCATAATACTTCCGTAATCATAAGTCAAGTTGTAGTTGTAATTGGTTTTTTCAGTTTCTTTAGAAAATTGAGAAATCCATCCGGCCTGTAATCACAACTTTGCCACCTGTGCCTACGTGTCCCGTTATTTTTTTTTTGAAGATTTAACCTTGAAGTTTTGTGTATAAAGTGTGATGAAACTGTCACGATCGTGCCTTGACTGTTCGTGGTAGAATCCTAAGGCGTGGCCGATTTCGTGAGCTGCGGTTCCGACCTGCGTGAAAGGAGATTCTCATGCCGCTATCTAGCGTTAACAATCTTTCATGTTGACTGTGGACTACAATCACCTGCCACCAAGAAATCACCATATAAAATAAACGTTCCTTGCGGGAGGTTCTTACCGATTCGCATCCATTTCCTAGTGAAAGGACCTGTTCACCGCCAACTCTTCCAACATAGGACCAACACCCATCACTTTTTATGAGTGTAATTCTATCTTTGGCTAGAAATACCGTTTCAAACTTTGAGTTTTTTCGTCTCTTCATATTTTTGTCATACCTGTGCTGCTTTCGCCGAAGGCAATGCAAGTTTCTGTGGACCACAAATAAGCGGCTTTTCTGAACACTCTCTTCGCTGCCTCGGCTAAAATTAGTTTTAGAAGCAATTCGGCTTAGCAACTTGTGTGTTCTGGCGTGAATAAAAATCAGGTAAAACAAACTTGCATTCCGGCCGTACGAGAAGTAGACATTTCTGTTTGTCCATAATGTTTCGGGATACCTACTATCACGGAATGCTTGTCGCTTGCTGCGATTGCCTCTGTTTGCTTTGATGTCTTCCATGAGCTCTTCGGCTTGCTTTCTGGAAACGAGAACATTACGTTCGGGTGGAAAATTGCTCTTCAGAAGAAGCCCATAATGCGACGAACTTCGTGAGAACAATGTCTCCTTGAAATAGCGCCGTATCGACTTTACTGTTGTGGTTAACTTGCTCGATTGTATCACCCATAGGTTCGATATGATTTACTTTGGTTCCCAAGTTGTTCTGAAGGCTCGATTTTGTTTTCTATGTAATCTTGTTATGAATGTGCTTACCACTACTTCACTTGGCAACTGTTGTGGTGCTTGAGCGAGTTCATTCTTTATTTCATCCTCCATATTGTGCAGTTCCCTTAGAAACTTCACAGTGTCAGCCTCATTTGGTACCTAAAAAAAACGTGGCTAAAAGGAGAGCTAATACACACAGTATATATATATATATATATATATATATATATATATATATAT